GTGTGATATGATATGATATGATGTGGTACGAAGTGATGTGATAGAATAGCTTGTACCTCGTATACCTACCTACCTACCTACCTAGCTAGCTAGTTAGTAGGTACCGAGTAACTACCACGTATGTGTAGGTAATAAACATCGGAATCGGACATCAGAGGGCCGGAGGACCGGGCGGACGGGCACACCAGACAACATGCAGCACAGATCACACATTGAAATAATATGGCGAGAGGGACGTGAGCCAAGTTGTCACCATGACGCAAGGCTGAGTTTGGCTCTTGCCGTTGATTGGATAGTTTGCGAGAATACTCGTATTCAGCAAGGCTGCAACATGGGTGGGATGGGGCATCTGAAGGAGACCATGTGATGTAGTAAAGGCTGTTGTTGATATGATCAAAAGAGGAGCCACTGTCCTTAACCAAATGACTACGCTGTATGGGCCGTCCGTCCTCGTCAAGCGGTCCTTTTAATCCTCATTCCTCGTCGCTGTCCGCCTGGTGCCCTTTTCGTAATTTCCGTCCACCACGCAGGCCTGTGCCTGGGACTGGTACCCCCGTCCATGACTGACTGCTGCGCATCCTCGACCGCTTCACGGATTCGTTGATACTATCCATGAAACTCGACTTGTTTTTTGCAGGCGCCTCCGAATCTTCATCCTCCTCATCCTCTTGGGATGATGCTTCATCAACATTATCATGAGTGTCGTTCCCATCCTCTCCATCCATGTCCTCGTCCGTTTCCGCAGTATCATCATCATTATCGTCGTCTTCCTCGTTGGCTTCGGCCTCTGCCGCTTCAGCATCGACTGCATCTTCGTCTCCATCGGCAGACGAATCGGACGTCTCTAGCTCCTCGTCCAGCTCTTGAGTGACACCCAAGTCATTGGAGTTTTCACCATCACTCACATCACTCCCACTCTCGTTTCCCTCGTCCTCCTCTCCAAGATCCAGATCACCATTCTCGAACACAGGTATTTCTGTCAAAGGAGACCTCGACTCCAGCCGCCGTCGTTGAATGGGAACATTCGGCGAAGGTCGGTCCTGGCTTTCCGGCAGTCTTGTCTTCCTACTGCTCGTCTGTGAAGGTTTCAGTGCCGAAGTATTGGCTTGGGTCTGCTCGAACAGTTGACTTGATCCCAGAACCTTACCAGGCGTCTTGGCGATTACCGGGCCTCTTGTGCGTGGAACTCCATCATCATCAGCTGATGAGAGCGATTGGTTCTCGGCCTCGACATCTGACTCGGGTTCAGATCCATGACCAGTGCCAGCGTCCTCTTCTGAAGTATTCTCTGCCGACTTGTCCTTTTCGGAAGTTTTGCCATCTTCCTGAACATCCGCCGAAGCTTCATCGTCATCCTCGTCGTCATCGCGAACGTACTCCTCTGACAGGCCTTTCTTTGGAGTTCTTCTTGTGGTCAAGCCTCGCAGCCTCAACTCCATCTTCGACGGTGTCAAAATCCGACGCAGCCCCGGGTTCTTCTCTGGGGCGTCAATCTTGATCCATCTTCCTCGTTCCTTTTTTGAATGACGAGCACGATAATGATTTGAGCACTGCTGCGCAGATCTTGTGCCCATCTTCTCACTGACCTTGTTCCATGGGATGCGGTGATGTTTCGGTTCGTTCCCGTCTGAGTCAAGCCGTAACTCGTCCAAGATCTTCCAAAACTTAGCATCCTCTGCTTTCGACCACTCGCCGGTGTCCACATCGCCGTATCGTAATTTATGCCACCACCGTTGACTGACTGCATCGACTGTCCTTGTCAGCCTCTTAGCAATCTCAGCCCACTTTGGACCGAGTTCTTTGTGTAACCGAATCAAGTCCTTGTCATCTTCCTCCGTCCAATTCCTCGACCCCTCCACATTCTGAAAGTTCCGCTCACGATAGCGCAGCATCGATCTTTTGTTGCGATTTGGCAGGACATTACGATACTCTTTCAAAAATTCTGCTCGTTTGATGAAGGGCCAGCGCCAAATGTTTCCTTTGTCCCGTGTCAGGGTGTCGGTCATCATATCGTTAAATTGGATCCGAGTGATGTTGTGGTAGTCGCAAAACGCATCTCTCCACCTGTTCAATTTCTCGACCTCGGTCTGGCTGAAGGCGCCAGTGCGTCCTTGGAGGCCGTTGCCCCTTCCGTGGCCCATGTCCTTCTCGTGTGCGGCGAGCGCAGTGCTCGCCCAGAATTCCTCCGAACACTCTTGACACTTATGCAGACCCACATGCACAGACTGCTTCTTCAGGTGACGATTGAGCAGATCCCGACTTATAAATCTCCGGTGACATCTAGCGCACTCGAGCCGATCTCCATTGTCGGATTGCTTGGGCCTCGGAGCTTGAGTGACTTTACTGGTTTTCTTGGCTGATGCCGCTTTACTCACATCGACGTCGGAATTGCTGGATTGATCTGCATCAGAGTCGGAGTTATCGTGCCCCTTCTGACCTTTCTTTTGCTGCCTCGGCGCTGGAAACGTCCTCTTCGCAACAGATGTCGCGATTTCAACTGGTTCACTGTCTCCATCGCTGTTAGGTCCATTAACCTCGCCGTGAGCAGAATCTTTCACAGGAGTCGAGTAGTCGACATCTGGGTCCGCTCGAGTTTTCCCTTTTGGTGTCGCATAAGGAGCCTTTTTCTTTTTCCTCTGGCTGGGTCCTGGAAAGGAATCCACTTCAGAGCGCCCAAGGTCGGCACTTTTTGCACGGTTTGGCAGGACGTTGGCGTTCTTTTTCGATTTTGCGCTAGAAGGACCGGCCTGACTTGTTTGTGGGATGATTACTTCGACATGTTCCGTAACGGAGCGAGAGGGCGGCGACTTCGGATTAAGGGTTGGATGTCTGAGGCCCGAACCTGGCGTGTATTTTTGGGCCCAGCCATCCATGCTCCCTTGCCTTTTCTGCAGGCGTGGTACAATCTTGTCTGTGATTTGCCGATTTTGAAGGGCGTCTGTGTCCTCTGGCTTCTTCACGGAATCTGGCTTGGTCGTATCATTAGGTGGAACAGAGGTAGGCGGAGAGTTGGGCGACCCCTTCCTGCGTTTGCGGGTCCTTTCCGGGCTTGGTCGCTGGGGCTGAGCACCGTCTCCAGCGTCCCGTTTACGTTTGAGAATCCCTTTTGGCATCGGAGTTTCTTTCACGATGAAATCTTCTGCTTCATCGAAGACGCTAGACGGAGAGCTCGAACGTTGGTCAGACACGACTTCAACGACATCGGCATCGGGCGCAGCTTCAGCCATCTCAACCTCTAGTTTGTCATGTTCCTCTGGCTGAAGTTCCACGTCGAGGTTGTGGCCGAGATTCTTTGCTTCCGGTCTCTCCTGAGGAGTTGCGAATACGATGGAATCCTCTTCTGGCGGCTCTCCGTCCTCTATCCGGTCGTGCACGTCATGTAACGTATTGGGCTGCATAGCTTGAGGTAGTTCCGGCATCTCGGCTTCTGAATCTTCATTGGGGTTTGAAGCGGCCTCAGCAGACGCAATCTGGAAAGCGCTGTGCTGCTTCATATGTCTGGCTAGCGTATCTTTTCGGCTCATCTGTTTCCCGCAAACGACACAGCGGAAGCTCGTCGTGTGGATATTGGCATGTCTTGTAGCTGCCTTGGCCGAGCCAAAGGTCAATCTGCAGTTGTGGACTTCCGCTGAAGGGCAAAGAAACCGACCTTCCCCATTCATCTCGAGCTGCGTCACCCGCATAGTAGGCGGGCCTAAAGTCTCGCCATCTGGAGCCTTCGTGCCTGTTGCAACGTCAATCTCGGGCGTATAACTTATGTGCTGATTCTCCTCCTTCTCGAGAGCTCGTTGCCGATCATGCGAGTTGTCAAAGCCCGTGTTTGACACCGCAGGAGTGCTCTTCTGACTTGCGCCATTGAGAGTCGCGAATGCATTAAACCCACCACGTCTCTTACTTTCCGTGTCTTCTGCATCACTTGTATCTGACGTCGCATAGATGTGATATGTTTCGGGTTCCGTATCTTTTAAGGGTCGGGTGTTTGGACTTGTGTCTTTAACCTGGTTGACCAAAGGAGGAGAAGTTCGTTTTGGAACTCCGCCAACCGCATCGTCACTGGCGTTGTTCGACGACAGGCGGCGCTTGCGATGGCGATTTTTGGATTTCCGACGTGATGCATTTGCGTCCTTTTTTACTGCCAGGGACTGATCTTTGTGTCTGCGATTGCGATCCAGGCGGTTTGCCATGCCGGAGGATTCATCAGGAGCATGTGCCGGAGTGCGGTCGGTTCCAGCATCGGAATTGTGATTCGATGCTTGGTCTCGGTCGTCGGGGATTTGGGAAATGTCAAATTCTTCAGGAAGGCACGGTCAACGGCTTTGCGTCAAAGGCGCCAGTAACATGACTTGGGGCTTCTTCACTTACGGTCATCAGGTTCAGATCTTGGAGGCGAGGCAGACTCGGACTCTTGACTTTGCGTTTGTCCCATGATAATAGCACACTGTGAAGAAGAGGCGCGTCATATTACGTGGAACGTGCAGACCACCAGAGCCCAAGTGGGAGGAGACAAGGACTAAAATGCGCGTCACTTGAGAAATTGTCCATGACGAGCTTGCCGCATCGAGTCGCAAACGGCCGTGTGGAGTTTGAGGTTTTGGAAGAAACAAGTGAGAGATCCCCACGCGATGAGACGTGACTCGTCCTTGGAGCTGCCCGCCTCGCGGCTAAAGGATCTACGCCGTTCGGCGCGCCATTGGCAAGCGGGGGAGCTCGCTAATGAGCTTCCCAGGGACCCATTGTTGCAGCCTCGTTATGAGCGCCTCCATTATCTCCAGCTGCGAGGCTACTGCTGTTCATCACAGTTACCAGCATCCCGTCGAATGGAAGACTAGCATTCATCTGTTTTCTCAAGCATACGCGGATGATACGGCAAGATGGTCCTCCTCACAACCACACCTCGCATTCTCTCTGCCATCTCCTCCCTCTCTCTCGATGATCGCTCGTCCCTCGCAGATCTTCCCACAACATGCGGCCAGGCAATAGAGCATACCACGCTCATCGCCATGTCCCGCCTTAGCCATAAAACCACTCTCAACAGCCTTCTTCGTGGTACCCATGTCTATGTCCCTCCACCACCGCCTAAACCGCAGCCCTCACCAGAATACGTCGCTCTTATGGAGAAGCTGCGGAGAGAACAGGAACAGCGCGATTATGCCTCCCTCGTATCCAGTTCCGTCTCCCTCAACACCGAGGGAGAAGATGAAGATGACGATGTCTCTCCTTCGCTAGTCCTCAACATCTTCCTGAGCATAGTCCTCTGCGCCGCTGCAATATTCTACTTGACGCGATGGTGGGCTAATGATGGTCTACGGGTGCTCTTGTCTCTAGCAACAGGGATTGTAGTGGGTGTCGCTGAAGTTGGCGTATATGCTGCATATCTAAGAAAAGTCAAGATGAGTAAGGACAGGGAGAGAAGAAAGAAAGAGCGCAAGGTAGTTCTGGGGGAGTATACTGGTACAGAAACAGGAGGAATAGCCCTGGATGCACAAGGGACACCTGTCTCTGTCGATGTGAATGCGATCATGGAAAAGGAAGAGATATGGGGGAAGGGAGTTAATGGCGGGATGAGGCGGCGCGTGAGAGAGAAATGGCAGAAAGACCAAGAGAAGGTCAAAACATGAGACGGTAGCACCTTGCCCTGGGACCTGGGCACCCGGGCACCACTTGCAATGTAATAATATTAATCCAACTGCTTCTCTGCCTCGATCAGAGGGCATCCCTATAGCCAGCTACCTTTGGTACCTAGATTGTCACCCGTAACTAAATCCAGAGAAATGCGCCGAGGTTATTCATAGAGGTTACTACGTATATCACCACAAAATATACCCCGCGGAAATAGAGCAGACACCAAAAAAAGAGAACGAGAGCCAAACAAAAAAGATCAAAATCACAACCAAAAAAAAAAGTTGATAGAAAATATTCTTCAAAGAGGATGCGACGGGATTCGAACCCGCAACCACTTGATTCGTAGTCAAGCGCGATACCATTTCGCCACGCGTCCTGATATGGTTATAGATCAGGTGAAGTCAACTCTGACTTGTGAGTGATATTTTGGAAAAGTAAACTATATACAGCATTGTGCGCTTGCTATTAGTCATTTCCGCCACTAATTAGTCAGGTGACTACTGGATCTCGTCATGATTTCTTGGGATTTGAGTAGGAAGGGTTTTCAGACGTCACACTTCACTACAAGTATGAATCGAGCGATCCAGCATGCAAATCCTATTTGAATCTTTGTATTTTCTTTTCTCCAGCTCGCAATGACATTTGAGGCTGTCGTTGGTTATCCGCACAGTCTATATCATGTCATGGTAGGCTTGTTGACTTGACTGATAACCATGGCTGTTTGTGCGTCTGGGTTCTCAAGCATTCCTTCGAAGCACAGAATTTTGTTCAGCCGCCGCCTTATGGTAGGTAGGGGAGTAAACTCAGCTGGCGCGTGTCCTCGTGAATTTAGTCGAAAAGAAGCGTTCTTTCATTATGCGCTGCGCATTCGATATTAACGTTTTTCTTTGCTTTCCTCTCTTTGCCTCCAGACTTGAACCAACAGAACATCTGAGCATCGTGTGTCTCTCCATGCCGACTCCTACCTTGTAACTCGATCTACTCGAATATGGCTTCCTACGATGCTGCCGGTAATAGACTTTCATGTTGCCGCGGTTGCGGTCGCGAGGGTCTTAATATTACAAGACACACGTGCCCTTCCTGTCCCTGCAATAACTGTCATGGAGAAGGCCATTCGGCAGCAGTATGTCCAGCCGCGGCGACGCGCAACCAAGATCGACAACGAGAGCGCCACGCATCCGTTCCCGTCAAGCCAGTCCTCGGCCGTTCTGGTGTCCCATCGCCAGCCATCCCGACTGCTCATACCCTATCAACTATCAATACCTCTGGCCAACCACCAGCGAAGAAGCGGCGCCCAAATCCATCGTTGTCAAAAGCGCATTCAAAGTCTGGTATCAAGCCACGGGCTGAAGTTGAGTTCAGCGATGTCGAGAAAGAGCGGGCTGCTAAGGCAGTGGATATACACCAAACATCCTCTTTACCGCGTTTTGACATTCTAGCGAAACACTTACTCCAGCACTTATGTTCTGATACATGTCCAGCGGTTTTCACCCACTACAAACTCCAACTAGACGGGATTGACTCGAGCAAGCTTTGTGAGGACCTTATCTCCGCGATTGACCCACAGATTCGCGCACTGGAGGGTCAAGAAATCGACCGTGATAGCTTGCAAGGAGTCAAAGAATCTCAGAAAGACGATCCTGTCCTGTTCGAATGTGACGGTGGATACATGGACTACATCACGGATACTCGAAACCATGAATACTTCAGAATGTACATCGGTCAAGGTCAGGCCATCAAAGTCCGAGTGAGCGAACATAAGGAGAGTATCGCATGGGGAGATATCACGTCTCTACACTACTATATCTTGACCGGTGGTCAATTTCGAACAACAAACTTTATTCGACTCTACCGGCTTCTTCCAAACTCGTTCCTCATCAAGAAAAATATGAGGAATGAAAAGGTCGAACAACTCAATGAAGTACGCCGAACTTTACTAGAACTTCTCATGACGCTCGCCTTCCAGACACTGCCCGCTACTGAGCTTCAGCAGTGGCTCCCAATGGTTCATTCGTGTCTCCTCTACGCACCCTTCATCTAAACATACTCAACCCTCTCTACCAGATCAATAAGGGAGGCGTTGTGCACAATGACCGACAATCAAGCCGAGAACAATTACGGCTATCACAGGATCCTCAACTGGCCTCATGGCCTGACGTGAGAGCTCAACAGATCCGCGATCGCAAGAAACAGCAGTCCAGTAATCTTGGATCTTATCCCAAGCTGTATCAGATGGGTGATATCGTACGGGCCGCTATCGAAGACAATCGGACTACTTTGGGACAATTCGACACCGTGCAGTTCCCAATCAAGCCTCCAATTGACCAACACGAGAAATCAAGTATCGAGGACAGATTGCGCCAACTACGAACTGATTTATCTGATACTTCACTCCTTGATAAGATCTACAGACCGGTGGGTAGTTTGGACAGCCCAATATCCATGGTGTTGAATCGAGCTTTGCTACCGAAACACGATAGGCCCAACTCCCAGGAGAGTTTCTTACCCGTTGCCTTTGTGGAGATGGGACTCACCGATGGACAAACGCTGATCTGGCCCTTTGACCTTCGAAACCGATCTGGCAATACTCCAGAGGTCATTAGTGGTCAAGCTAATCGCGAAGCTACGGCATTCAAGAATTTTTCCCTAGGACTATTGAAAGACAGTCGCGCCTCTTTCATCTTGATTACGGAGGGAGCTGCAGAGGAATCTCTCTTTCAAGATAACCCACTTCTTTCTGCAGAGTTCAAGGGAACCCTGCGATCATATGAGGTCAGAGCTCGGCTATTTGTACGTGGCGGCAAAATTCAGAAGGTTTTCATGGTCATCCCTGATCCTGAAAGTCTTTACTCCCGGGGAAACTGGAGAAGCTGTCAGCGTTTCACACATAACCTACGTATGGCTGCTTTCCTTAGCGGAGCTCGACGAGCCAAGTGGAAACTATTCGAGCATAGAAGTGCTCACGCAATGATACTCCGAGCATATGCCGCGAAGGACATGGAAATGGTGAGCCTGAATACACTTGATCATTTCATCGTGGACTGGCTTTATCGAAAGGGTTTTCGGACAGCAGAGGATGCCCAAGAGCTTCAAGACCTCTCTCCCATAAAATCACTCCCTGATGCATGTTTTATGTCGATGGTGCTGCTCCCAAAGCAAACAAAACATGGGATTAATGATGTCGATCGTGCAGTACTTCAAGTCAGGGAGACTCGTTCACGAGGATCAGACCCCCGATGTTCAAGCCCACGAAAGATTGCCCCGGAGGATGCCAATGCTGTAAGACAGCTCTACCAAAAGAAATTACACATAATGCTTGCGGATGATCCTGACTATCCTAACTTGCCAGGTTGGCCAAATCCACACAATAGCAATCGTGTCATGTCTCCAGCCGACAATGAGCATGGTGAAGCAAGCAGTGGTCCCACTGAAGCCGATATGGTTGACATAATGACAATGCTACAGGACGATTCAGTTCCTGTGGTGTTCAACACATCTCGTTTACCCATGCCACAAGTCGACTACAGTCAACAACCACGATATCCGCATCGGGTAACAAATCCCACGGGGGATGGTGCAGATGCACACTGGGATGAAATACGAGAAGAGACAGCCAACAGCATTCTCACTGGTGAAGATTGAATTTCACCTTCGTGGACTCAAGAAGTCACGTCGGTATCTTTCATTACTTGGCTGGGGCATTGAAATCATTGCTGATTTCACACCTGATGACGATGAATCGATTTATGTGATGGCCGACATATCACCACCTGGTATAGAGCACGAACGCACTTGCTCCAAATTGCATTCGTCTCGCTTACGTCGTCTTGCGTTCCGCATTAAGATTGAGTCAAAAAGAACGCAATCTACATTCTGGGCCCAACGTCTCAGGTTCAGATGTCTGGAACTGGCGGAGATGCTTTTCGATAGACTTGCAATAGGTTGTGACGGCCATGGACAGGAGATGCGAGGTGAGAACGGAGTCTGCGTTGATTCCGCACTCTAAACAGGCTCCACCGCCACTATTTTCCAATATCATCACAAAATACCAATAGATGGTGGAGGCATAAGATGGTACGTAGAATCGGGGACTTTGTGCCGAAAATGTACCATCTAGCCTCGTGTCCAGTTTTGTCTCGAGCGTCTGTCACGAAAGGAGTGGGGCCCTCGACTCTGCAGTGAAAAGCTAGAAGAGAGGAGCTTCGTCCATTAGTTCCACATCATTCAATCATACGCTTTCGTTTGTCAGCACCCGTGACCAAGCCAGGGATGAAGAACCACGATTAATGGAAGTGCGGGTCGAAGAGAGTAACTGAAATGCCTGTTCCCAACAACAGGAGACTGAGATGCGTACAATACCAAAGAAACGCAGAAGGGTGTGTGGTGAAGGATTTGGATGTGTGGGTGCAGGTGCAGGTACTACCATCGATCATCCAACCAGGCAGTAGCGGGCTTGACCCAATACAACCACAATATGACCTTCTCGCCATCGCAAAGATTGTAAGCAGGCATCTTGATGGTATTTTGAGAGGTCTGGAAACGTTATTCGTTTGGGAAAATGTCCACTATGATAATATCCGTATCTCGTAAAATGCGCTTCAAAAGGTCAACCTTCAAAGTCGTAAATCCACCTCCTGAACCAACTCTTGACCTTCTTCAATTCCTTGATTCTTGGTTCCAGCAACAACTGCCCTTCGCATTCCTTCCCAACGAACCCATTGTTCATTCCGTCCCTTACAAACACCTGCCGGCCCCTCAGCCACGTCTCTTTGACTTGTCCGATCATGGTTTTGCCTTGATACGGCGAGCACTTGTTCCGGAAGAGCATCGTGCTTGGCTCTACAATCCACTCCTGGGTGTCGTCAAAAATACAGATATCGGCGTCAAAGCCGACGGCAAGGTCACCCTTTTGCTTCTCCAGGCCTACTTGTGCAGCAGTGTTGGTGCAGCACCATGTTACCACGTCAATGATAGCTGAGTCTGGACCGGTCAAACCGCGGCGGGTCATTTCTGTCCACAGGATGGGGAGCCCTAGCCCAACAGACGAGATGCCTCCCCATGCGGAGAAAAAGTCACCTCTGTCAGTCTCTAATTGTAAGGCTTTGACCTTGTCTTTGGGTTGACAGATATGTCCCGGAATGTGTGAAGGGAGGATCTTGAGATCAGGTGTGCAGGGAGAATGATCTGACACTACCGTCTTGATGACCCCCTCACCGGCATACTGCGTTAACTCTTCCCAGAGACGGTCTTGGTTCAACTGGGTCCGGATAGGTGGGCAGCATTTGTGCCTCGTGTCGCCCAAAGCAACCTGTTCCGCAGCCAGGGACAAATAGTGCGGGCAGGTTTCGGCTGTGATGTTAATCCCCTGCGCACGTGCCTTCCTCAACAAGGGAATCGCTTCCATGGCTGACAGGTGGACGATATGCAAAGGTAGATTTGGCGCAATGTGAGCCAAGGAGAGAATTTCCTCGATAGCATAGGTCTCAAATGAGGGTGGCCGCGACTCGAGGAAAGTACTGTATGCGTCGAGGGGGCCGTGTGGCTGCAAAGGAGGTAACGATATCTGGACGTCATCTCCGACTGAGTCCGCAATGGGCGGTATCATCTCTGCATGGAACATGACAGTGGTAGGTTCATCTGCCAATTCAGCAAAGACCTTCTCGATCTCGACGGACGAGACGGCAGGAAACTCTTCCACCCCGCTGTCAATGAGAAATCCCTTGAAGCCCCTCACTCCTTCTCGGACTAGAGCCTTGAGTTCTCCCTCGTTGCCAGGGATGATGCCCCCGTAGAAGCCAACATCAACCCAGCATTGGCCTTGCGCTGCTTTGATCTTCTCTTGCAGCCCCGCCACGGTGGTTGTCGGTGGTACCGCATTCAGCGGCATGTCCACGACAGTGGTCACTCCACCAAACGCAGCAGCCTGCGTCCCTGTGTAGAAGCCCTCCCATTCTGTGCGGCCAGGTTCATTGAGATGGACATGGGCGTCGATCAAACCCGGCAGAAGTATATGCGGCGAGTAGTCGGTATAAGGCGTATTGGGAGGGAAATCGGATGCAGGCACGATCGAATCAAAGGTTGCAGTGATTTTGCCTGTGACATTGGATATCACAATAGTGGCCGCGGTAAGTCGTCCGGACCGGATGGCTCGAGACGACGCGATCACGGTTATCGGAGACTCGCCTGCTGTTTCGAGCAACCCATTTGGAGGAGATCGTGGAGGTGTCGGATAAGGATGGAAGGCTCTGGTCCAGCTAGTCATTGTTACGGTAGGCGACAGAGCACCAGGCGCTTGGACAGGATCAATATGAACAGCACAAGGCTTGCAAACACACGGCGGGTGGATATGAGACGCTGCGCATGTGAACAGGGGAGTACAATTCTTATCAACGGAGTTGATAAGCAACGCGTAAAGTCAACCACCGTCTCATCACCCTTTTTGAGAACGAAATCGAGGTGAGAACGATAACAAAGGACGAGGACAAAAGAGAGACATACTACCTTTCAGCGGCCACTCGCCCGCATCCCTGGTATCGGCTTGGGTCACCCACAGCCACCGTCGGGAGACAGGACCTGTTGGGTATCTTCAGAAATGTCGCAGGAGGGAAGGGTGTATGCCATAGACGCGGAGGACTCCGATCAGCATCTGGAATGCCGGCACACTGTGAGAGCTGCTATTGGTGAGAATCGGGTGCGCGCCGACGCTGAGCGCGTGGGCGGTATCTGTTACTCGATCATATCGAGCAGAGATAAGACGAGACGTCTCGCCGGAACTTGAAGTTTGAATTTTGGTGGGATGGTGGGCATCAATGGCGCTGACGCACGCCTGTTATCGTTGGGAAATGGAGACATGTGCCTGGTCCAAGAGGCTTTGCGGAAGGACGCTTTCCCCTATGCAGCTCGCCGGAGTTCGGGACTCGGGAGGCTTGACGATAAGGGGCCTCGGGCTTGTTCTAAGCCATATTTGGCCTCGGCAGCCTCTGGGAATGTACGTCCATTACTCGATAATAAGACCATTTTTACTCGATCAAAATTCCTGAGTGGTACCTCCTGTGTGTTTGTCTCTCTTCTTGCTCAATTTTCGCTGACATAGCGTAAAGCCGACGTAATACTTTCGCTCTGCTCCGTGGAAAATTGTCAGGCCATTCGCAGAGGAGTTTCCGCGGTCTGCGCAGGCGAGGAGTCGGCAGCAAGAGGGCGCAGGAGGCAACTCTACTGCTCGTAGTCATCAATGAAGAGTCAGGAGTAGCTCGGAGGCCCAGACGCTCGGGGGGCAAAGAGCAGGAAGGTAATGGCGATAGGAATCGAATGATCTTGACCTTGGGAATATGGTTAGCACCACGCAGCTTGGCCTACTTGATTGAGGGCGTCATGTTCGATGATGCCTCTCTTCAATTTGCAACGGCAACCCTTTGTATCGTGGCAAGGGACAGTGAGAAACATGAACAAAGAACAATTTTGAAACGTCCAAGAAAGACAGAGGGTTTTTGAGGATGAAGGTGACGAAGTTGTTTCTTGGATTTCGCAGTCACAGGATCACACCAAAAAGCATTATGATCACGTGTCATTGCGCCATATGACGATGAGCTTCTCTGTGCAATTTCTCGTTTCTCACAGTTTCCTCTCTTCCTGTACCCGGTACCAACCATCGAGTCCTCGCTTCACAACTCAAGATCGCTTAGGCAACTGGTCAGGCCTCGGATGCCACACGCCTTCCACTTGCTCTGCGCCTTGAATGGGAGCGACCCAGTCCGGACGACTATTTGTATAGATCTCGACCTCAGGTTTGCTGGCGTGTATCATCTCGTTCCCATCAATACTCCCGATCATTACTGCAACACCGTCGCTGATACCGCTGCTTCTGCGATACAAGGTCGACCCGCAATGGTCGCAGAAGAAGCTGGTCATTTGGTTTCCAGACTCGACATTCAAGGTGAAGGTCTTAAGGTTACCCTTTACCACCCTCATCCCTTTAAGAGGTACCAAGATATTGTTTGTGTTCGTTGACCCTGAGAACTTCTTGCAATCCACACACCAACATCGCATCTGCATGAGATTTAGGACCCGAAGTCTGTGCGAGAAGTACGGCAGACTTACCCTCAAGGCAGGCTCGGCTCCCCACCGCAACCGATTTGCACCGCAGAGACAGCTGGAATCAAACATTGTTCCTTTTTTCTTGCGTTTCCTTGTCGATATTTTTTTTCCGAGTTGTCTACCCAGTGCAAAGACCAAGTGACTTTATATTCAATCCGGTTTCTTGCCTCGGATGTCTGAAGTGTTAATTCCATGGTTGTGTTCTTGCGGACAATTACTAGCAACAGGCAAAGTCCAATTGTTCGTTGTATCTCCTAAATCCGACTTTTGACCAAACATCGGGCTTCATGCTGACATCCTGAAGACCCCGACTGTCTGGCTGGGGAAATATACTGACTATTCGACGACAAAAATATCAGTCGTTCTGCAACATCCACAGGAGTCGAGACCCATGCTAGTGCTATGTGCAGCAAGGGGAAGATCTTTACTATTACCTATCCACAGGCCTGTCAGGGGTATTCATGGCTACTGACTGCTTAGCCTTCATCTGGGGTCCTTCAAGGGATTTTGCTGGTCAGCCCTCGTTCGATCAATCAATACCTTTGTCATTCCAGTATAGTCTTTAGGCAAATACCGATCAAACAACTCCTCCCATATACTACTCTTTCGGAAGTTCACTATGCCGATATCTCGGAGCAGTAAGTCTGTGTACAGCAGGCCATCGAAGACGAGATCTGGACATTTTTCTCCTGCACCTCCTCCAGAAGATGGGTGCCTCAACCGACAGTATTCGGTTTGGAGAATCGTTTGATATTCGATATCCTGGTAATTAATTGTCGAGTCATTCAAGCTCGGAATCTGTTGCTGGAAGAATGCCGTTATCCATAAGGCCTGAGCTTGCGCGACGGTGATAGCATTGAGAGCAAGGTGGGCGCCGATAAAAGCTATGTTACGTTTGTCCAGAAAAGGTTTTGCCGACGGCACCATGAAACGATACAATCGATACGGACTGTGAGTCGAGGTTTCCCTCGAGACATTGATGGAGGGTAATCCATCCGGCAGAACCTTTCGAGGGCCTTTGCGAAGTCCTGGTATGAATCTGAAAATCTCCTCATCCGCCTGCTTAACGAGACACTCGATCCCAACCTGTTCCTGTCCTGGAAGTCCGAGTTGAGCTGCTGCGCTCGGTGGCATGAACTTGATCGGCGGAGCCACCTTCCATCCAGTGCAACAAACGAAAGTGTCGGCATGAATGATGTCGCCATTGGAAAGGTGGACCTCATCACCCGCCAGAGACTTTACGTCAGCGAGATGGACGGTTATACCCCCCCTCTTGACCAATTCGAACCAGTTCGTTTCGTAATTGTGAACACCTAAGGAATTACCCATCCAGAACATTGATGCCCAAGGCTTCAATTTTTTCAGCTCTGGGTGCTTGTGATATCCGTTTTCTGAGAGCACGGGGTGAGACAGGATCTTCCAGAACAACTTGACCAATTGTCGACCAAGCCAGGTACGGTGCAGGATTCTCCGGGCGAGGTTGAACCCGCTGCCCTCGGCCCAGATGCAGGGTTCAAACAGGGTGAATAATCTGGTGGTCGCCATTCTTTGGATGGAAAGCTTGAAAGGAGAGAACATGACAGGCCACACCCAGCTTGGGCCGCCGCCTTGTGGTCTGATCACCATATTGACATGGGCTCCCGCCGTCGCCGCCGAATAACAGACGTCCCATGCCGACTTGTTTGCCCCAACTACCACGACCTCTTTTGATGTCTCGACGTCGTCTGCACGATCCCTCAGCTGGCGTGAATGGAGGAAATTCCCTTTGAAAGTCTCAATTCCAGCATACTGAGGTATATATGGCTCAGAGGTCAAACCCGTAGCCACGACTAGCCGATCAGCCTCTAGGCATTGGGCTTCATCGTGCTCAGCTTGTCCACGCACTCGGAGCAGCCACTGTCCGGTCTCTTGCAGTTCTGCCGACTCGACTTTGGTCTGAAGCCTCAAGCACGGAACCAACCCGAACTGCTCTGCAAACTGACACAGGTACTCATGCACCACAGCGCCGGGGATATGCTGTCCCGGCTTGACACCAAATCTCTCGGGTGTCATGGGGAAATCGCCAAACTCATATGAGCCGATTATGTTGTTTGTCTTGAGGCCAGGGTATAGGCGTTCTTTGGCCCATGTTCCTCCGATGGATTGGGCGGAATCTAAGATGAGCAAGCTGGCATGTGGACAGACCTCGGAGTATGTCTTGGCCATGGTGAGTCCATGCCATCCTACGAGGGGGCCAGTGTGAGTATGACGGCGTTGGCAGGGAATGTGACGAAACGAATCAGCTCACCTGCACCGACGATAACCAGATCGAAGTGCTCCATGCCCGACAGGACTGCGTACTCGGTATCCCCCCTCAGTGTTCAATATGTGGGTTTTCGGCAAGACGGTTTATCAAGCAGGAGATCCTTTCTTGGGGTCTCACCACATATTGCGGTTTGAGGTTGGCGACAACTGCTGTGCCTCTGAACGACCTGTTCTCATGTCAATCACCGCACCTGCGTATGGTTGGCGCACGATAAGGTTAGAGATGGGTGTGATGGATTCTCGTTCTAGTTTTCTATCAAGGGTGAGCAGTGATCTGATGGTGTATTCCGTGAAAACAAACAGCCTCGCCGCACTCTGTCTGCTTTCTTGTTCGAGCGTAAGCTCACCGCCGCAACTCAACACACCCAATACCACACCAGGCCACGAGCATGAGATTTACCTCAAGCCCGCCAACTCCAGTCAACCAAGACAGCCAGTCTCGGCACATGACCGAAGACACCGAACAAATGAGATGCAATGAAGGACATATTACATACCAATCCAGGCAACAGTGCACTGCACTATTCATCCAGCACGACAACATAAATATGACGATGTGTGGACTCAATCCGCCCTGTCGCTCTCGCCTTCGCTCGCGAGGTATGTATTTACGAAGGCGCCAAAAGCCGATAACCGCAAATTTTCTTGATATGTAATCTGCTCGTGGATTACAGACGCAGTTTCTTTTTTAGAAGGACAAGTTAGTAGTATAGGGTCTATACTACTACAGCACAAGCGCCAGACACCTGGCACGACAATCACCTAGGTATCTAGGTGTCTAGGTCGTAGGTAGTAGATTAGTAGATAGAGTGTAGTATGCACTGTTTGGAGGTATCTCCCCAGGAAACCCAGATCGGCAAATCAACTCGGCTTCTGGCTTCTGGATGTATCGATCGTTGCATCTCACCACAAAGGCCACCAAGGGGCGGCATACGGCAAGTGACACGCGGCATGGGATACGGCATAGGATTGAGGGGACGGAAATGTCCTACCTATGCACATGCCGATCGAGTTAGGTCATCTCCCCCCCTTTCTCCCCGCTTCCACAGTTTCTGGGGTCTTGGTGTTGGTGATGATGATGGTAAGCCTGACTTGACATTGGCTGCCCGCGCCTTACATCTTCACATACGACTTGTGTTATTCCCACGTCGTATATCATGTTCCGACACATCTACATACATAAATACATCAGACTTGTAGATACTAAACGCGAAGCTATCACTTGTCTCTGGGCCCAATAACTTCTACAGTTTATCCACAGTACGTACTGTATTTCCCTGCCCGGCACCAAGAAAAGGCAAAAGGGAAGAGGAGGGAGAAAAAAAAAAAAAAAAAAAAAAAGAATGGCAGACGCCCCAGTGCTCGATCTCGAAGCATTTCCCACGGCCAGGGAATTCGTGTCCAAGTGCCACGAGTTCTTCAGGGAGGTTAAGAATTTGTATGCCTCTCTCTCCCTCTCTCCATCATCTTTTCTCGCGTACCCTATCCTCTTCACTGATGGGTCAGGCCCTTACTTGAATCATCCATCCCTACACCAACATCCTCCGCTAACCCGAACCCAGAACACCGGGTAAAGACCTCGAGGCCCGACTGAACCGCGAGTACGGCCCCGGCACGCCCTTCTACGAGGCATTTGCGCGGTACATGCGCGACGGCCTCAAGGAGGGCTGGGTGGCGCGCGACGAACTCGACGGGCCCAAGTACCGGCGCGGCCGCATCGCCCCGCCCACGCCGGAGAGCAGCTTCATCTCCATCACCGCGGTGTACATGGACTCGCAGGAGGTGTATCGCGGGCAATACCACCAGCATCCGTACGGGGAGATCAACTGCGTCGTCTTGTTGGATGAGACGGCCGAGTTGAAGGGCATGCAGGGCTGGCAAGGGGCCGGGTGGACCAGTCCTGGCCCCGGCACGCACCATTATCCCGAGGTCAGAGGCGGTGCGTTGGTCGCGCTGTTCTTTCTGCCGGCTGGGAGGATCAGCTACGAAGCCACGCCGGATATGCCGCAGCCGCCGTCTTTATAGGATCTGGGTACTCTGCGAGGAGCTCGGGATGGGGATCATAATTTCGTAGCGGCGAAACGAAACGACACGTCAATGTCGACGCTGCCACTTGATGGTAGCGGGATGCATTGGTCGTGAGAACATGGACTGTAACAAATCAGCATTTCCCTCGGTTGTTAATTGAGAAAGGGTACGCTTCAGTTGCTTCGAGAGGCTCGTTCACGGGCATCGCATCACTTACCGAATAGTCCGTCGCGGGCACCGGTGCACCGGGATCGACCTGACCCCAGCGCAAAAGTCTCACCATGGTGGCAAGTATAGCCCCTAGCTGCGCATAAGCAAAAGTTTCCCCGACACACCGGTGTCGACCTGCGCCGAAGGGCAGGTAAGGGCTGTTGACCGCTTTCGAGGAGACAGCTCCGTACCCGTAATCCACTGTATCGTTGTCGTCGCGTTTCTCGTTCAGCTGTGACTGTGTCTGTGCTTCCGCATCCGTCTCGTCAGGCTTGTCCCACCGATGCGGGTTCCACGCCATGGGGTCCGGGAAGAATTCCTCGCACCGAGAAGGAACCCCCGGCGCTGCGAGCAATATGTTGCCCGCGGGGACGACGACGTCGGTATCGGGGATCGGCATGGGTTGCTTGACCTTGCGCATGATGGAATGGATCGGGCTGTGGAGCCGCAGCGTTTCCTTGATGACATTGTTATGCAGCGTGAGTTTCTGTAGCGTGTCATACGTCGGATCTTGATCTCCGAGGACATCCAGCTGTTCCTGGTACAGCTCCTCAATGAGATGTGGGCGGTGAGCGAGATGGAGCATGATCCACGTCCCCGAGGCTGCCGTGTTGTGCTGGCCGCCCATGAGCAGGGCGATCATGAGGTTGGCGGTCTCTTCGTCTGACAGTGGAGTGCCATCTCTGTAACGGCCGTCCATCAACGCCCAGAGCATGTCGTGGCTACCGTCCTGGTTCCCAGTCGATCGTCGCTGTCTGATGATGTCCATGTACAGCTTGGCCATCATCCTCTGAGCACGATCTCGCCGCCTGTTCACGGGTGTGGGCAGCCATGGAAACATGAAATTGGCGGGCGCAAAGCCGTCGTCGAGATGGCGGTAGTAAGTGGCGAAGGAAGAGTCGAAAGAATCCCTGACCTCTTTCCCCTGCAGTGAGCCTGCTGCGGCATACAGGGAAATTTCAGAAAGCACAGTGGATATGTCGCATACTCCGCCCTCACCCCGGAAGACGGCGTTGGTGTTGATGTATTGCTCGGTTTCTTTGACGAATTGGGGGACGTATGCTCGCAAATTCTGACTTGTGAAGCCTTCCTTCAACAGCTATAACAGCGAGCGTGTCAATAACAGAGACGTGCGGGATTAGAGGCTGCAAAGAAACAATTTGCCGTACTCTTTTTTGGTCCATAAACCTCGCGTTGTCCACATCATATACCACACCACGACCGAAGACCGGTACTGTGAGTGGGCCATATACCTCCTGTCACCGGGTCAGTGCTGTGATGCTTGTGATGGAGCAGGCGTAGTCTTACTTCGGCATTGAGATCCTTCAACTTCCCGTTCAAGATGAAGTTGTTGCCCTTGGCTCCCAAGTAGACCGTGACTTTCATTCCAAGCAGCCCAAATGTGAAAAAGTCACCGTACTGGACATTCGATTAGCGAAAACTGAGCCATCAGTGGGACCAAACCCCCCCCAGTCGGAACTTTTCTGAACAAGTTTGGAGCGGCTCAAGGGTACATAGCGCGCGCACCTTTTCTCGGCATTTGAAGAAGAACTTGTACGGGTCTTGCCCATAGTCCACTGTGCTGCCAATCAGAGGCACCCAATGCCATACAACAGGCGGTCTGTGGGGATCTCGGAAGAACAGCTGCTTGACAATGTTGGTGACGATGGAGATTCCGATGAGCCAGAGCAGTGTGGTGAGGAGCCTCACGATGAGCGTCATCACGGCTAATTGCTGGCTTGCGCAGTGGTGTGACGGTCTTGGGGGCTGTTCAAGGTTGTGTTTGGCTATTCGCGGTATCGAGTACTGAAAGCTGATCGATTTATGAGTGCTTGCGAGAGAGGTTGTGCATTGATACATGAGGAAGTTGAATCAGGGTGTCGCAGTTGGCGGTGAGGCCGAAACCTGCGCCAAAAGCGGCGATGAATATGATGATGCACTTCGGCGGCCTCTGGCAACACGTGTATTTATCCTACATTCCTATTTTAACATGCGCAAGGGGTATTCGCAAGTACCCAACTATACTGTCTTGGCCAGGAGGAGGTATTCGTGGCCGTCAGGCAAGTCGCCAAAAGGCCAACCAAGTCCTCGCGCCCTGACTTCAGCCAACGCTTTTGCTGGTTCTCCGTGGTCCACCCAGAAGTTCGTATCAGCACAGCATATGACCCCCTGTGGTGCGCCCTCCACAAAGAGACTCCCTGACAACCTAGCTGACCTGATATATCTGACAGGGCTAGACTCCATAACGTCTTTCGCATGCTCTCGCACAACCCTCAGATCTACCTCCTCGAGCCCACATCCGAAACTTCTCAGCGCGGTGAGGATCGCCGCAGGGTGTGAGCTTAGTATCCCGAAAGTACAGTTCTCTCTTCCTTCTCGTAACTTGGAAAGAAGCTGGGCCGAGTCAGAGAGGGTTTGTCGTGGTGTAAGGGGAGAACTTACCCTTGTAGCCAGCCGGCGACGCCTATATTGCAGATCCACGCATAATTGGGTAACCCAGCAGACTTGGTGGCCTGCAGAGTTCCAACAGGTGGCCAAAGCATGACCAACCAGGTTGTTGCCGGCCATAGCCCTGACAAAATAGTTATCTGCACGATCTGGGAGGCACTCCTCTCTTAGCCGACCGGGACTCATGCGGACACGACGACCTGTCGCCACAATTTAGCAAACCAACATCCGCCAGGGGGACAACGCTTAGATACCATGCTTTGCAAATGTTCCCATCATTTTCTCCGCCTGTGGTCCCCAGATGCCATATGCACGTGAGAACAATGCTGCCGCTTCTTGAACCATATCCTGGGTGATCTCTTTCGCGGCCAAGATCTCGAAGGTAAAGAGTGGCTCGACAGGTTGTGCAGTCTGTCTCTCAAAGCTCCCGGAAGCCATAGCAACAGCTGTATCTTCGAGTGTAGGTTGAAAGGCGTAATGGTGTAGAAAGAGGGTAAATAATTTGGACACAATGAAGGCTTGAGGAGGCTTGTGAATAAGTAACATTGCTGATTCAGCCTTCTTAAACGTGGTATACACCTTCTGGGGGTCGCATGCAAGGCCTGTCCTAGCCTGCACCATGTGGTCACAGTCATCCAAGTCTGACCACTGGCGAATTAAGCGGTTCCAGCTTTTCACCCCGGAACTGCCAAAGTGGTCCGCGAATTCCTCAAGGCCTCTTACCCCCACAGCAACGCTATTTCCATCACCAGGAGCCATCTAGGTTAGGACTATGATGGTGGCTACATATGGAAACTGGTAACGATCTCTCTATCGAAGACTATCCACCGAGTCGAATCAATAGTCGTGGCCAGATACAAGAGGTGGCCGGGAAAACTCGAGGGCCGGCGCCATCTCAGTCTGAATCTAGGACATCAGGACTGAAAAACAAAGGCAAAGGGCCTGCGAGAAGATGATTTCGGTCGCGACAGAAATAGATTTATGTGTCGGGAAACCACCTCAACAAACTCAACACACTTTTTACAGTTGCCTTATCAAAATGGCGAAACCAAAACTCCTCCCATTTTGGACACGGCGCCGTCAGAGTACTCGAAAGATCGACAAATTTTGATCCTCTGTAGTTCTCAGGTTTAACGTCTTGGGGAAGTATTCGTGCTTTCTGGGGGATCGTGAAGTTTGCAAAGATCGTCGGGATATCTGATGGACCTGTCGGTACGGGTCTATATTCCTTGACAATCGCCCATCGGCTTAAACTCGACGTGTCGGTAACACCCCCAAGCACCTTAAAATGTGCATCGGTCAATTTCATCCATCCATAACACATCACAGCCCATGTTCTGTTCTCGGCACGTGAGTCTAGTCGGGCATAAGCTCTGCATTCGTGGGCAAGAGGCGAGGTGTATATGGCAACATCATACAAGTAGAAGACAGGTCCGGGTTGCTTCCAGTGCTTAATTTAGACTGCATCGGAGCAGGGTAGCTATCAGAGAGTTTCACTCACAATTTTGACAGCATATTCGGCCCCCTTAATATCTGCCAAAATCACCACACCGTGTTCTCCTTGACTGATTAGACGCGGGTTGTGAATGTCTTCTTGATGGTTGACAAATCGCCGCAATTTCGGTTCATCATCCTCCGTCGTCTGTTGTAAAAGGAAAAATGGCTCCGTTGAGAGATATATGCCAATGATATCTTCTCCCATCAACTCAGCATATTTTGGGTCCTTGCTGAGTCCTTTGCGCATCTTTTATCTGGGCTTTTTCGTCGTGCACACTCCAGAGCAGTAGCTGGTGGTGGTTTTACTCGCGAACGAAGGGTGGTTCGGTCTTTTAAGAACTGTCGACGACGGAGGGACATGGATCGGGCTTCCGAGGAAGATCAGCCAATTTCAGATGTAAATGGAGACGGCCACCTTGACTGATGTTCCACGCAATGACATGAAATCTCTTGCCTCGGAGGTTTTCCGCTCACGTGGCTGGGGTTGGCGGTGAATCCTACAGGGTCCTTTCTACCGCTCCGCCGCGGTGACTCTTGAGGTTGTCACCATCGTCCTCATTCCAGCGCAACAACCCGGAGATGTTGACACGAAGATCAACCCACCTACATCCCCCCGGCACTGGAGACACGTTAGTTATCTGGACCACACCGGCATTGGATACGGCCATGGCCCACCAAACTGCGTATGTTTGACCATGGAGACACCAACTGGCGTTTTAGTTCAGCTAGCCAAGAGGAAGAGGTGGTTAGCAAGATGAAAGACGCTCGATAGACAATCCTGAGGCCCACTGCCACCCGGTTTGTACATTTGATATACTACTCCAGCGGCCGCAATAGGTCTTTCCTGGGGAGTAGGACCTATCCAAGTGCCTTCTCTTCCTACAATCACACACTTTCGACATGGGACAACACCATGGGCGCCTTTGTACCAGCCTCTTTGTTAGCCTCCAGTGAGGCCTTTTCAGTATCCACCTTTTCAACGGCACTCTGAGACGACTTCTCAAGCTCGAGGGCAGAGGCGATCTCATCCTGGTCACCAAAAATCTTTGCCACTTCCTCCAGGGGAATTCTTCGTGTATCGGGGAACCAGTAAAGCAGGAAGCAAACGAAGACCGTCCCGGGGATGATGAAGCAGAGATAGAACTTCCACCCTATGTTCTTGAACGCAATCGGGGCAACTTGCAACCTGTGGAGGGAAGATCAGCATTCAAAAGCCGTCGGCTACTGAAGGGGTTTCAGAGGCATACCACATGATGTTCATTGCGCAGAGACCTGCCATCCCGAGAGCAATGCCTTTGGCGCGAAGGTGATTAGGGCAGATCTCGGAAATGTAAACGAACTGGGTTCCATCGAGACAGATCTCCCACATCACCACATATACGAACAGCATGGCCACAGCTGCGCTCAACGCGCTGTTGTTGGGATTTGCAAGCGCCTCAGGCGTGGTGTACGTGGCGACCAGAGCTGCCTCGATGGCCAAACAGCAGAGACAGAATTGAATCCCGAAAGCAATCAATTTTGGACGTGCAACTCGCTCGACCACGAAGAGAGCAAGAATACCTCCTCCAATGGCGACAGTATACCAGCCGATCTGGTAGAGAAACTGCTGTTCGGTGTCATAACCTAGTGCGCCGTACAACGTCGGTCCATAGTTGTTCAAGACTGTCGATGTTTGGTCAGGAAGACTGCATCATTTTCGTTTCGAGAGAGCGACGAGGTACGTACCTAATGGACCGCTCAGTTGAATTCCAGCCGGGATCAGGAAGCTCATGATTGCCCTCTTCCGATAGCTCGGTTTCTTGATCAGAGCCCAGTACGAAGAGTCGAGCGTTCTGTCAATCCTGACTTGTGTTGAAATCTGCGATAGTTCGACCGCAGCCTCTTCCTCGGTGTGCAGACTCTTGAGGACCGTTGCCGCATCTTCGTAGCGATCCTTCATGAGTAGCCATCTAGGCGACTCTGGGAGCCACGGCAAAAAGCAGAGCAGGAGAACTCCAGGTAGGGCGTTGAGGGCTTGGAGACCTCTCCACCCGTTGCTGTCGCCACTCTTCCAGAACCCATATCCGATCCATGAAGCAAGGGCGTAACCAAAGAGCAGACTGATACCATGGATATCAACCAAGACTCCTCGAACACTCGGCGGAGCTACCTCACTCATCCACACCGGGACCGTGGACACGATGATATACGCCGCCATTCCTGCGAAGAACCTGAAGGCGATGAACATGTGAATGTTGACACTTCCTGCCAGCAGGGCGGACGTCACACAGGCGAAAACAGCCGGAACGGCAATGCCGACTTTGCGACCCCATCTGTCGGAAATGGGGGACACGGCGAAGGTGCCCAAGAAGCCGCCGACCTGGTACATCTAGTTTCCCCACCAAGTAGATCAGTGTTTGTTACTTCCACCTCTCGAGAGTTCTCGACACAGATGCAGAGGGGTGTAGTCAACAACATACACTTCCAGTCAACCCGATCAAGTCCGAGGCATCTGGTGCAGTATCCAATCCCATCGCCTTGACAAATGAGGGCTGGATCAGAGTGGTCGATATCACCGATGCCGAGTAACCATACATGCAGGAGCCGAGACTTGCAGCGACTATGAAGAGTACATTCTGCCACTTGAACTGACGTCGCGCCGAATGGTGGTACTCGCTCTGATCCACGGTCTGAGAGGAAGCCATGATGTCGCAATGCTGCTCAAATTCTGTCCTTGTGTTGCTGAACAAGACACGACGGCGGATTTGTCGCAAAGATATACCCCTTGAGAGGGAGTGGATTTGGGAAATTTCTTTCCATAAAACACCGTCTTCAAGGCACTATATACCCCACCGGACCCATATTTTTGGACCTGGCAAATGACCTGGATACCGACATTTGGTTGCCGGAATAGCCAGGAACGTGCGGGTTGGCGAAATGATACCCCAGAGCGTTTGTTCCCCATCATCGACTCCGCTCTGGGGACCCAGATCTCCAGAACTGAGCTGTTTCTTTTTCGGCTTCTCTTTGACTTCTGCCTACTACCATGTGTCGAGGTGGATATCAATGTCGGCGAGCGAGGCTGCTGGCTGTCATGTCCACTGCCGAGAATAGCCGTGAGACTGTGAGCCGGAACTATATGTATCAACTGACGGTGTGGTTACAAGGAAAGTGTCGGTGCTAAATCCATATCAATATTTCCAACACCATTCTCGACCTACCTCTTTCACTGGATACAACCATTCCGGTAACGGGACACCACCATGGCTGCGGCTCACAACTTCGACGTTCCGGCTGGGAACACTGTCCGTGTGCGGATTATCGACACGACCTCGCGGATTGAAAAGGTCCCAAGCACGTTTTTGATGGAGCCAATCGTACCGGGCTTTACCCACATGCCCAAGTTGCCATCATGGTCTTTCTTGGTCGAGCATGCCTCGGGCAAGAAGGCACTATTTGACTTGGGCGTACCCCCTACCTGGAAGGATTTCTCCCCGGTCACCACCAGCCACACAATCGCCGCTGGTTGGAATGTGACTGCTGAGAAACACACGGTCCAGATCCTGGAAGAGACGGGTATCAAAGGTGAGGAGATTAGCAGTATAATTTGGAGGTATGTAAAGGCCCCAAGTCGTCGACACGGTTCTACAAGCTGACAGGATTCTAGCCACTGGCATTGGGATCATTTGGGAGACCCTTCTACATTCCCTCCCAGCACGGAACTGGTCGTGGGGCCAGGGTTCAAAGAGGCGTTCTTCCCCGGCTACCCTGCCAAGATCGACGCGCCAGTCAGGGAGAGCGATTTCGCGTAAGTCTTTGTCAAGAACTGACATGGCCGTGGTCCACCGACCTCCCCAGGCAAGTCTGGCTAACGAAGAGAAAAGGGGCCGAGAAGTTCGCGAGATTGATTTTACAGAGTCGAAGCTGAAAATCGAAAAGTTTGACGCCTTTGACTTCTTTGGGGACGGATCGTTTTATCTACTCGATACTCCCGGACATGCCATTGGGCATCTTTGTGGTCTGGCCCGAACGTCGTCGAACCCTGATACCTTCATCATGATGGGCGGTGACCTTTGTCACCACAGTGGCGAGCTCCGTCCGTCGCCCCTTCTGCCTCTTCCCCAGGACAGTCAACTTCAAACCATTCTCCAAGGAATAATGCCCCATGTGCCCGCTTGCCCTGGGGCGGTCCTGGAGCATGTGCAGCATTCTCGGGGTCGAAAGCTCGACGAACCATTCTTTATCCCGGCAATGGGACTCCACATACCGACGGCAATTGAGAGTATCAAAAAGGCTCAAGAGGCTGACGCCGATTCTAATGTGTGGTTCATCTTCGCACACGACGATAGCCTGTGGGGCTTGATCGACTTTTTCCCGGCAGACGTGAATAGTTGGAAGGAAAAGGGATGGGGCGCCAAAACCAAGTGGTCGTTCCTCAAGGATTTCCGTCCCGCATTGGAAGCTGAGGCCGAGACGAAGTCGTAACAAGGTAAAAGAAAAATAGCTGGAACGCCAAAGAGTAGAAAACGATTGATTGGTATACCAGACCGTAAAGCCGACATCATTAACCGGCAAACTCTCAAGAGACTGGGCCGTCTCCAACCCAAACCCATTGCCAGCAAATGCCAGCAGCTGAGGTTCGGCTATACAAAGACGCCACATACATGGGTCTCTCCAGATCCCAGAGACTTAACCCGATTTTTTGCTTCCCCAGTCTACGATATAGTATGGGAAAACACCTGCTTACAAAACATGTGTGTCCGGGAATAAAAGGACCCAGGTAGTTTGTATCTTGTTCAAGCAGTGGTTGATTGCCGATCCACACAGCCCAGTAACAATCGATTGAACGCGTCGTCATTGCTGGGAGGAATTAACGGTCTGCAAAAAGTCCTTTCGAAGAGGCCGTGGATATATCTATCTACAACTTCCAAGTGACGGAGCAGGCGTCCTCAAATTTGACAGTCCTTGACAGTCGTCCTTCTTCTTGCGGAAAAGAAATCATGACCGACCAGGCCAAATACATCAACAAGCTCAAAGGCGCGCGAGTCTTGATCATCGGAGGGACATCTGGCATCGGCTTCGGCGTGGCGGAAGCAGTCATTGAGCATGGCGCGGGCAAAGTAATTGTCTCTTCGTCGCGGGAATCGCGAGTCAACGACGCCGTCTCAAGACTCAAGGCGTCGTATCCCTCGTCCACGGCTTCGATCGAGGGGTACGTATGCGACGTGGGAGAGCTGGGCACCATGGAGGACAACATCAAGGAGCTCT